TTTCCAATTTCCAATGACCTCTTCTGCACATAGCTTAGTTATGAAAACTAAAGTGAACTAGGATAGCATTAAAGAAAGGCGAACTGAAGGTAGATGAAAGATGGAAGAGGTGGAATAATAACTCACGGATTTCCTTATTTTCCTCTTTCCCTATCTTCTTTAACTTTAATCTTAAGGGATTGTCGGTAGGAAAGGATTTCCATTTTTTCTCTTTTTGACTATCCCTATCGTCGCATGAATCGGAGGCACTGACAGAGTCAGGGGTCGAGGTGAAAGGAAACTCGCCGTTTGTCTCTCAGTTTTACCAACTGACTGCCAGTCACTCAAGCCGGGCCTTATATAGTTAGGATTACGATGCCTTGACCATAGATAGAAAAGGGGGCTGCGATAGCCCTAACGCCACTGGACTATAGTGAACATTCGCTCATGAAATGCATCGGATTGGACAATCAACAGCTGTGAGATGAAGGCAAACTCTGTTGCCAGGACAGTCAGTTGACCAAATTCTTGCTTAACCTTGTCAAGTTGACTAGTTCACGCGCGGTAGTTCTGCTCCAAACACTGGCCCTTTTCAGTTGATTTGAGGAAACCTCCAATGATTCCAGCTAAATAGTCCATTTGCAATTTGATTTCTTTCCTGCCATGACAAACACGGAGAATATAAGTTGTTGTACTAATCGTGGAAGCACTTTATCTCGTCCCTAACGCCACTTCACAACGATGTTGCATCAACCTTCAACTTCAGGCATAGGTTTTGCACTTACCTTAACGAGCTACAGTCTCGAGTTACGCGGATGGCTTGAAGCAGTCCTGCAGGTCGATTTTAGTATTAGTAATCTTCATTCACAAAAGTGTGGCAACGAATCTGACACATTTAACCATTTACCACGAATCAACGATTATTGACGATTCATCTGTTTCAGTCGCGTCTTTTCCGTTTCATTTGCGGTATCGGTTCGACGACTTTAGTCGGATATTATGTACAATATGAATAGTAATGATCTGAGGCCTAATAGCACTACAAATATTTGATTCTC